GGTCATCTAGTCCAACCCCCTGCTCAGGCGGGAAACCCTACGCCATTTCAGACAAACATTTCAGTCTCTTCTTAAAAACTTCCAGTGTTGGAGCATTCACCACTTCTGGAGGCAGGTTGTTCCACTGGTTAATTGTTCTCACTGTCAGGAAGTTTCTCCTTAGTTCTAGGTTGCTTCTCTCCTTGATTAGTTTCCATCCGTTGCTTCTTGTCCTGACTTCACGCGCTTTGGAGAATAGCTTGACTCCCTCTTCTTTGGGGCAGCCCCTGAGATATTGGAACACTGCTATCGTGTCCCCCCTCATCTTTCTCTTGGCAAACCTTTTAGAGACTGAGTGCCCAAACTGCAACCCAAAACCCACTTATGTATCGTCAGGTGCTGGGTGGGTGTGGCCCATTTGATGGGCATGGCTTCGGTGGTAACGGGCAGACTGGGTGGGACTAAAAAGTTCAATCAATCAATTCCAACTTTGTGAGATTTTTTTTTCTCGCGAGAAGTTGAAATTGATTGATTGAACCTTTTTTTTTTTAGGTGGCGGAGGCCTAAAGCGAAAAGGTTTTATAAAACCCAGCTGAAGACCTAGGACTGGGGCGACGGCACGCGTGCCCACAGAGAGGGCTCTGAGTGCCGCCTCTGGCACCTGTGCCATAGGTTCGCCACCACGGGTATATATGATCTTCCATTCACTTTGAACACTAGTTGGTTGAGGCAGGTCCAACCCCCTGCTCAAGCAGGAGACCCCATTCCATAATGAGGTATACAATAATAATGGCAAGAGTTGGGCAGGCGAATCCAAGCAAAATTTTGCCAAACTGCAAGAAAAAAAGCCCTGCCAATTGCTTGGAAAGGAAACTGGCACAGATCTACCTCGTCCCAGGCCGCAGGCCGCCGCTTACCTCGTTCGAGCCGCAGAAGCTTCAGGCGGCGTTGCCCAGCTCGGGGGGAGCGTGCGCACGGAAGCCGCATGCGGGCGAAAGCCGCGGAGAGCCGGGGAAGACCGCGGACGTCGGGGGAGGGGCCAGCAACGTCTGCTGCCAGCACGACCCCTGCCTGCACGAGCAAGA